GTCTGCATCCAGTAAGACGCAAACCAAGTTGCTTGAAGTTGAAGCCTCGAAAGTTGTGGTGAAGGACAAAGATGCCGAGATCGAAGCTAGTGTCCAGTCTTCGTATCAGCTGTTGGAAGCCCTGAAACGTCGCGGGTTAGCTTTGGACTTTGCGGGAGTGATGACATATACCCGACATGACAAATATGTGCAGCTGTTGTTTTCACACCTCAACAGAGACCCTCCGACGGGGTATAACAGGTGTAGCGTGTCTCAGCTCATTGCTGCCGATCGGGCTGCCTGGTGCTCACTCATTGAAAGAAATGTAAAGCCAAGACCTGACCTTGCTGGTGTCCTGGCCTTAGACACCGAGTTAGAAGAGTCTTTGAAAACCTATGAAGTGAGTTTCGCACTCCTACCGCTCATGTCCAAATCGCAGCCAAAAGCAGTGCCTACCCCAAGTGATGCAGCTGGTGGCAACAGAGGCCATCTCCAGCCCTCACCCTCCAAAGGAGGAAAGAAGGGCCAATCCAGGTATCGCCCGTACCCGTCAAAGGGCAAAGGAAAAACCAAGGCTAAGTTTGAGCAGAGAATTCCGAAAGAAATTCGGGATGCTGGAGGCACTGCCACCACACCTGATGGAGCTCCAATCTGTTTCGATTTCGCCTTCAAGAGATGCCGTGAGACTGTCGCTGAAGGTTCCCGCTGCAAGAAAGGGTACCACCTGTGTTGCATCTGCTATGGAACTCACTCCATGGCTGACCATAAAAAGCATTGACTAATATCGAAGCAGAGCCCTCTCAAACGCAAATTTTCCGATTGTACAGACTCTGCAATTGAGAGAGGACCGCATGCCTTGCATGTACGAAACCTTGATGGTGTTTTTTCCGAATGCACAACGACTCCTTTGCCTGGGAAATCCAATAAGACTGTTCTACAGGAGAAACCTGTTAGCCCAATCCCATTATCTCCGGGCGTGCACCAGACACCCGTTGGTGGAACCCCTATGCAAGCAGACAGTAGCGTGCCCAGGGATCCTTTCATTATTGAACTTTGTGCAGGGTCAGCCCGGGTTACCTCATGTTTGCAGCATCTTGGCATGCCATCCTCATTTGGCGTCGATCACGTAAAACAACAAAACTCCGGCCGTGTTTTGATCGCCGACATGACCACCAAGGTTGGAAAAGAGCTATGCTGGACATGGTTAAAATCACCAAACTGCGCTGGGGTGTTCATTGCACCCCCATGCGGAACATGTAGCAGAGCTAGAGGCATACCCATCAAGCTGCCTAATGGGTTATTAATAGCAGGACCACAGCCGTTGCGCACTGATGAGCAACCGAATGGAGTCGCTGGACTTAGCTATGTAAACAAACTGCGTGTTTCCCAAGCCAATGCTATCTACCATTTTGTGACAGAAGTTGCACTCTTTTGCCTTGACCGTGGCATGCTGGTTTGCATTGAAAACCCCAGGTCGTCCATTTATTGGCGCACCACCTTCTTTGCCCCGCTTGCCAAAAGGCTCACATTTACTGCCCACCAGGCATGTGCTTACGGGTCCAACAGGCCAAAATGGACCGTGTTGGCCCATAATACAAAGGCGATGATTCAACTAAATCGAGCCTGTCCTGGCGTAAGCAAAAACCATGTGCACAAGCCCTGGGGCGTAGTGAAAGGCCCAGAGGGCCAAAAGTTTTCTACTTCTGAAGAAACGGCCTATCCGTTGCCGTTAGCTTACCATATTGCTTACTACATAGCCCAGGAACTGATATCAAAAGGTTGGAAACCACCTTCTGACGCCTTTTCACCGCCGGATGAAATTTCATATCAGTACCTAAGGTCTATTGTTGTGGTCCAACCAAAAGCAAGCAAAATTGCCCCCCTAGTGTCCGAGTTTCAGCATGTGATTGCCATCCATGTCCCAGCAAATTCCACTGTCCCTATCCTTCCAGGTGAAAAGCTGCACGCAGCCTGGTGTGGAGTGCCATCGGGTTCCTGCCTCTTGAAACGCCCACCATTACGGCTAAATGGGGGTAGTGGGGTAAACAATAATAATGAAATGACTAATAATGCCCAACCCGTTAGTCCCTGTGGCAATAGTCCCTTAAATAATGTCCTGCACTTTGGTGTTTACAGGTCCAGTGCTCAGTTTGTAACCGCGGCTGCAAATGCGGGACATCCTGTAGGAGGTGAATCCAGATTGCCGAACGCCCTCAGTGAAGCCATCCACTTTGTTGCATGTCACTCGGTTCATGAAGTAGCCCAGCACAGGCTGTCCACCTTGAGGTATTGGCTAGACCGTGGCAAATCCTTAATTGAAGCCGAAAGAGAGTTGCACAATTCTTTGCACCCTTCAATCAAGGACATCCTGGCCCCTAAGAGGCTACTCCTTTGGAAGGAGATGCTTGCCTTCTATCACTACCCGGACATTGCAGTGTTTGACGAAGTTGTTTCAGGGGTATGCCTTTCTGGACCGGCACCAACGGTCCCTTTCTTCGAACCCAGTTTCAAACCTGCAAAGATTACGGAAAGTGAGCTGGCGTCGTCGGCTCGTGCGTCAAGAGTGGCACTCTTGGCATCAGTGAGATCTTCAGGTGACCCGGAAATCGACAGCGAAGTTTATAGCAAAACTATGGACGAAGTTGCTTGTGGGTGGCTGGAGGGACCATTGGACCTGAGCTCGCTGGGAGATGACGCGGTGATTAGCCGAAGGTTTGGCATTCGTCAAGCATCCGGCGAAGTGACAAAAATACGTTTGATTGATGACTTCACGGCTTCGAACGTAAACCAGACAGTGCAGGTGGACAATGCGCCGAAGCTGCATACGCTTGACATTGTGGCAGCGCTCTGCATGGAGTTGTTGAGGTTGCCATGTGACGAACCTTGGGTTGGGAAGACTATCGACCTCTCCTCTGCCTACAGACAGCTCGGAATATCGCCGACGTCGCGGTGGGTTTCTTATATAGCCGTCTATGACCCAGCGTCGGGTTGTGCAAAGATATTTTCCATGAGGGCGCTGCCGTTCGGGGCCAATAGGTCAGTTTATGCATTCTTGAGGGTAGCTCACTCCCTCTGGTGGCTGGGTTGCACAGCCATGAAGTTTCTCTGGAGTAGCTTTTTCGATGACTTCATAACCTTGTCCCGAAAGAGTGAAGCTTCTGCCATGTCAATTGCCACATCGCAATTCTTCCGTCTCCTGGGTTGGATGGTATCGGCCGGTGAAAAAGACTTGCCCTTCTCTGAAACTTTCAAAGCCTTAGGAATGGAGATAGATTGCTCTGCCTGGAGCACTGGCCTCGTGAAGTTTAGGAACACCACTAAACGCATCTCTGAGCTCAGTGAGACAATAACCTCAACGCTGAGAAGCGGCCGCCTCAGTTCCCAAGAGGCTCTTGTTCTCAGGGGCCGCATGCAGTTCGCCAGGGCTCAGATTTGGGGCCGCGCGCCGAAGCTGTGTTTGGCGGCAATCACATCGCACGCTTATGGTGAAAATGATGGCAGCCTCTCCATCCATACAAAGGCGTGTTTGACTGCCTTCTTAGGTAGCCTGGTTGCTGCCAGGCCCCGAGAGATAACAGCCCAGTGGGACCTGCCGTCATTGCTCTTCACTGATGCCAGCTTCAACCCTGATGATGCGCAGTGGCCGTGTGGCCTCGGTGGAGTTCTATGTGATTCGACGGGAAAGCAGTTGGCAGCCTTATCAATTTCCTTGACCTTGGATGATTTGCGCTCACTAGGGTACCCCCAAAAATCCACGGTGATTTTCGAAGCCGAGCTACTAGCCCTCGTCCTGTGTGTGAGGCTGTGGCGCAAAATAATCCAAAATCGCCCATGCGTCATGTATGTTGATAATAACGGTACCAGGGATGTCGCCATAAATGGTAGTGCTAGAACCTTTCCAGGGTCCTCTCTAGTTGCATCTCTTCTGGCACAGGAGGATGCAGCTTGTGTCACTGCGTGGTATGCTAGGGTCCCTTCCCAGAGTAACATTGCTGATCCTCCCTCTAGAAACTCCTCTGATGGCATCAATGTGAGTTTTGTGAATGTTAGCCTGGTGAGGCTTCACCTCGACAAACTGTTGAGGGATGTCATTAACAACGGTCAAAGTGGGTGAGTGTGTTGCCTGGTCTCAAAGGTCTGATGTGGTGTCTCCGCATTGCATGGCCAACACCGGCCTTTGTGACGAGTGATGGAGCGGATGTGTGCCGCTGGTGACGATTGGCCTGATGGCCTTGTAAAATTTTTTGCAGAGATGGAGAAACCTATGTTGTGAATGTCCGTCAGGGCAGACCGAACAGCGAGACCTTGTGATTTCCCCACGCTTCGTGAAAAATGACCGCAGTGACCTCACCTTCAGATTCGAAGCCACTCATGTTTTTTCAGTGATGTGCAGTTGGTTCTTGTGATGTTTTTGTCTGTTTGTTTCGTTTGGTTTTTATGGTAACGCGGAAGTACGACTTCTTCACTTGGCGGCGTAGCGTGAGTTTAAGCAAGCGGTCAGGTACTGATAGCGCCTTAAATTCTAAGCGTGCAAAAATTTATGAAAAAAATTTGAGCCAAGTAACTTGCTGAACAAAACCAAACTACAACCTTTTGCCTTTCGCGTTGTCGCGTTCGCGGGTTTGGATCAGGTACACCACCTGAATGTTTGTTTACCTTTTTCTCTGTTGTCCCTCCCGCGTCGCGTTGTTTGCGCACGCATGCCGTCGTACCACAACGATGTTTATGCGTGCACTTCTTGGATGAATCCTTTATGTTACTAAAACTAAATACCTGGTTTGTTGCAGACTTGTTTTGTCTCAATTGTATGAATGCCACACAAACATGTCAGTGCTGTCTTTTTCCACTGCAGTGAATCTTGAAACAATACAGAGCATTCATGTTTGTCACTGATGTCATGTTGATGTTTTTCTCCAAGTAACCGTTTTGTTTCAAGTGGACTTTTTTGTCCCACCCAAGGTTGCACCTTTCCCGCCCAAAAGCCATTTTCCAGTTCGATCCCTTCACTGCTGCACGTTCCGATGTCACCGGACGATATTGTACGGTTCACTGCGGCCATCTCGATCTGTCTGGCCTTTTTGGAGCCAGCGCACCCCAGTAAAGCCAGGGCTATGAACATACAAGAAGACAGAATCAGCAACTTCGACAAGCTGATCACGGCCTGCCGCAACATTTTGCAAACTTGCGGCCATACCAAATATTTGTCCTCGATCTACGAGTTGTGGCATCAAGCAAGTCAGTCGCTGTATTTACTAGAGAGAATGATGTGGCCGGAGCAGCCACCGGAGACTGCTTTGCACTTGATACTACCGGCGGAACACCGCCCTTTGACAGACCTGATGCTCGACTCCTTTGATGAGCACCATAATAGCATCCTCCAGGCGATCCCAGCGCTCGAGGCCTTTCATTCATGGTTTACCCAGTCATATGATACAAGCTTGCACCATGACTTCAATGTGGTCGTCCTTGATGCAAAGCTCTTGCTGCGCAGCGCTGAGGTACTCATTCGTATGAAGGGGCGCTTTCGCACATTACAGCCCACTGGACCATCGGCCGACCCCATTGACCTTGATGAAGACGCTCCAAATGCTACGTCAGCTGCAACTCCGTCGCCTGACACGCAGCCTTCGGCCTCGAGCACCAGTCGCACCACGCTGGAATGGTATTGCGTGTTGCCTGGTGAGTGTGTTGCCTGGTCTCAAAGGTCTGATGTGGTGTCTCCGCATTGCATGGCCAACACCGGCCTTTGTGACGAGTGATGGAGCGGATGTGTGCCACTGGTGACGATTGGCCTGATGGCCTTGTAAAATTTTTTGCAGAGATGGAGAAACCTATGTTGTGAATGTCCGTCAGGGCAGACCGAACAGCGAGACCTTGTGATTTCCCCACGCTTCGTGAAAAATGACCGCAGTGACCTCACCTTCAGATTCGAAGCCACTCATGTTTTTTCAGTGATGTGCAGTTGGTTCTTGTGATGTTTTTGTCTGTTTGTTTCGTTTGGTTTTTATGGTAACGCGGAAGTACGACTTCTTCACTTGGCGGCGTAGCGTGAGTTTAAGCATATGGTGCATGGGTAGTTGACATGAAACATGAGCAATTTCGAGCTGCCAATGGAAATAAGGTTGACATCGACGGTACTGCAACAATCACTGTTTGGGTCGGTTTTCGCACTGGTAGGGACAAAGGTTGGGTACCTGACTACAAATCTGCCAAATTGAAATATTTGGTAGGTGGAATTAGTCACAACATCATGTCTACGACGACGCTGTATGAATGTGGTTGGGAATTCAATCAAGGACCTGATGGGTTTCATATCAAAGATGTGAAAACTGGTAGGACAGTTGAGGGTTGTATTTACTATGCAGGATGTCCATGGATCAAATTAGAACCAGCATGGTCTTCAGAATCCCAATTGACTGTTTCAAAGGAAATGGAATTTCCTCACCCTATTCTAGAAATTTTTGCAGCGAATAGCAACAGTTTAAATCCATTTTCTCGTGCAGCTAAATCTGACTTGGAGCGACATCGTCTTCAAGGACACGTCCCTTATGATCCAAGATGTACCATCTGTGCACGTGGCAAATCTACTTTTCATCACCGACGACGGAAAGAAGGCTCGTTGGAGACTGAGGTACAGGCAGATTTTGCATTCTTGACTACACGTGGAGAAGTGGTAGATGAAGAATCTGAAGGTACCATCAAGATCTTGGTTCTTACTGAATGAGCTACTAATTGCATTGGATACGTAGTTGCAACAGCCACTGATGCAAGGAAGGTCAAAGGTCAGATTTGTAAATGGTTAGATCACTTCGGACTGTTATCTTCCACCAGTTCAGTTGTATTGCATACCGATGCAGAAAGAGCAATTTCAGAATTAATAGGGACAAATTCGGAGAAGTACACATTCATGGTGCGTCGTGCACGCCCCCAACAGCACCAATCCAATGGTGGAGCCGAGCGAGCAGTCAGAAGGTTGAAGGAGTCGTTGGCTGTTCTTCGAGCTGAGATGAACGATGGTGGTGCTGATGTGAATTTTTCTGCACGTGGTTTGTCAGATGTTTGCACATATATTGCATTGAGTCACAATCATTTTTCAAATGCATATGGGTCAGATTTTTCTCCTCTTGAATATTCAAAACAACGGAAATTGTCAAAGCCAAGTTTTGCAATGTTCGGTTCAACAGTGTTAGCTGAATTTCCAGACAATCTTCGTGTACAGTCACCAAACGAAACGAGAAGCATTGAAGCATGTTTTGTGCATTCAGATTTAGACACAGGTCCTGTTGTTCAGGGTGCATTGCGGATTGATGGAGAATTGGTTTTGAAATAATTTTTTGCACGGACTGTGAGACCAATCACACCCATTGCATGGAAACAGATGATAGGTGACCAGTTGTTTGTGGATGTTGAAGGTACAGAGGTTCAAGGTGTGGAGAGTCAAGATGTGCATATGCAAGCGCCTCCAAACGCGCCCCCAGCAGCAATTACACCAACGCCTGCACGCTCAGTAGGTGAAAGACCCCCACTTGAACCACCGCGACAACGCGATGCACGCGATGACATTGTTGAATACCCTGATGGAGCCCATAGTGACCTTGTTAGGGAAATGAAAGAACCTGACAACACTAGGAAACCATTGCCAAAGAAGCGACCGACAGAAACTCCAGTGCCAAAACGTTCCACTGGTATCAAAATTTCCCATCATTCACCTTTGTCAACACCGGCAACAGCGAAAGCAGAGGCAAAGATACCCGCTGTTGTGTCCAATTCGCCTTCAGTTGTCCCGACATCGCCTGCAACTTCACCAGCAGACTCTATACCTGAAATTAGAGTTTTTCCCAAAACACCAAGATGCCCAGCATGTGACTCTGGAATGGCAGCCCCGGGAATTCGGCACAATGCCGACTACAAGAGGAGAAGAGCAGTATTTGATGCTGAGAATTCACCAAGTGTTGCGGTTGGTAGTCCAGAGAGTGTTGAGGTGAGTAGGGAAAGGTTGCAAGTGCATTTTGAGGATATGGAGGTTGATATTGAGCAAGGCCCAGCTCTGGCTGGCGGTTCAAGGGAAGGTTAGGTTGAGATGGACGTAGAAGAGACTAGAGGAACCAAGAGGGATGCTGAGCAACCAGTAGAAGAATTAGAAGCAGAGATGGAGCATGAGAGAGCCTCCGGGCAACCCATGTCATAGGGTCAGAGTGGGTGGGGGTCTGTGGACCGGGGGCAACTGTCGAGGTCCGTTTGAGTAGGATAAATCTACTCAAATCATACTCAAAATCTACTCAAATCATACTCAAAATCCACTCAAATCATACTCAAATCATACTCAAAATCTACTCAAACCATACTCAAACCATAAAAAATCATAGATCGAGTGGATTTTGAGGAAGACCTCTTCCCTCAACCGTACCTCAAACCGTAAATTTCCTCAATCGTACCTCAAAGCAAAAAGCCAAACCTCAATTGAACCTCAGCGGAGCCTCAGCTGAGACTCAGGTGAGCCTCAACGGAGCCTCAACTGATACTCAGCTGACACTCAACTGGCACTCAAACATATATCACTTACTCAACCGTACCTCAACCGTACCTCAACCGTACCTCAAAGCCATTTTCTCAACACTTGCCTACGGCCATGTGCCCCCCCCCTCTAAGCATTCTATGACCATGACTCTCGATTTGCTTTTAATGGATAATGCATGCCAATCAGTCGGACCAATTTTGTGGAGTCTTGAAGCTGGACCAGAGAGGGCAGTTGCAACAGGCCCCGAGTTGTTTGATAATGAATTAAATTCAATTAAATTCATGCCAGAACGTGACCATACTTGCGTGAAGGTGAAGCTAGGTGGTACCAATGTTTTGGTATGGAAGCCGATGAGGTGATTGATGACAGCTCGTTCATGCAACTCAATACTGATCTAGGCTTTGAAGGTATGAAGGAAGAGATTGCCAATTTGGAGAAATGTGGAGCGAGAAAGGTGATAGGCCAATCAGAGGTTGATGCATTGAAGAAAAAGAACCCAAATATGCGTGTAATTCCAAGTCGTTGGGTATCGGTATCGGCATACAAGATTGAAACAAGGGTCAGAGTTAGGATCGTAATCGTAGCCAAAAACATGAACAAAGGTGTCTCTGCACGGAAATTAGGAATTTCTAGCCCCACGCCAAGCATTGAGGGTTTGCATTTCGTGCTATCACTGGCTTCGAGACGAGCTCTACGACTTAAAGATCTTGACGTTTCACACACATTCATGCATTTTCCTCTACCTCATGGTCTTGTCATCGTCCTCAAGCTACCTTTATTTGTCTCTATGATGGATGGTTCTCCTGCATATCTCTTGCTCTACAAAGCGCTGAACGGTCTTCGAGATACATCACTGCATTGGTTGAATTTGCTCAGTAACTCAATTCGAGGAATTGGACTTGTTTCGGATGAAATTGAATCTTGCATTTACCAGGGTATCGTGAATGAAGAAACTGCATTGCTGGTAGCCTATGTTGATGATCTTCTTCTTTGTTGTCAAACTGCACGTAATGAAAAGCTGGTTGAGAAAGCAATTGGGAAAACAATCCCACTGAAAGAAATTGGCGTGATCCTACCCGCCGAACAAGGTGGAGGTGCACTGACTTTTATTGGGAGAAGAATTCAACGAGGAGCAACCGATGATTCATTGTCAATTGGTGTTGACCCAAAATTTCTGGACACAACCTTTGTGGAATTCAATATGAACAAGGTATCCAACACCGTGTCCGATGTTGCATCAGTGCTTGAGAGAGCCTTGACGGACAAAAGCATGCAACAGCCTTTAACGGCTGCAGCTTACTCGAGGTTTCGGAGAGCACTTGGGAAGCTAGTATGGATGGCACAATCACGACATGATCTGAAATTGTTTCTTAGCCTAATTGGCTCACAACAAGCTGCTCCTACGCATGGTACTGAGATGGCAATCAAAGCTTTGCTACGTTTTTTGCATGGAGATGTGGGAACTTGTCTGCGGTTTCCGTCGCCGAAGTATGAAGAACTTATGATTGGAGCTGCACGACACTGCATCCTGCACTCTTTTTCAGATGCTTCTTTTGTACCATATAGATTCAATGGCAGAAAGGGGATTACAGGCGGTGTGGTTCTGCGAAGGTGGACTTGTGCGATCCATTGCACGCCAACAACAGTCAGTTTCACTTTCGTCTTGCGAAGCCGAGCTCTATGCACTGCAAGCTGTATCTCAAGAAAGTGTAGCTTTCAATTAATTCTGTCAAAGGGTCTATGTTAGTTTGGGAGAGATGCAACCGAGGAGCGTACCAAAGATTCTGTTAGAATCCGATAGCTTTTCTGCATTGCAATTACTTGTTGGTCAGGATATTCCGAAGAGAAGCAGGCATGTGGAAATTCGTTTGGCATGGATGAAATCCAAAATGGCTCTGGAGAACTTCAGATAGAGTACCGAGCAGGAACGGAGAATGTGGCTGACCTGTTCACAAAGTGCTTGAGCACGAGAGACTTCCTACGTCATCGTGCAAGCTTAGGTTTTGAGGCTGTGGAGGTACCTGCCAGGGATCTTCGGTCAGTCAATGACCTTCTGCTGATCAATGATATTGTGTCCAACAAACAGGAAATTGTGTTTGTTGAAGTGTGCTGCGGCACGAATTCAGCTCTTCGAAATGCATGTCGAGTTGTTCGAATGCCCTATGTTGGAGTTATGAAAGAGGTTGAGACCGATGCAATGTTTGCACGAGTGATGCAGTTTGGAGAGGTCCAAGCTCAACTTGGCTATCACTGGATTCATATGCATGCCTCTACACCATGTAGCTCAGGCTCACCGTTGAAACATTTTGGAACAGGAGGTTTGAGTGAAGCCGATATTGCATGGGAAGGTATCATGAAAGCTGTGCCCTAAGTATTTAACTCTGGGGAATTCGAAATTATTTGAACTCCCACGGAATAATAACATTCGGAAGAGAGATGAAACCAAGCATGTTTTGAAGCACTGTGGTTTAGAATTTGAATCAGAAGTGTTTTTTTGCCAAACCGGATGCAAAGCTGACAACGGTTTGCCTGTTGGAAAGTGTTTGATTTTTCGAAGTTCGTTTTCTGGTTTTTGCAATATTTTGACCAAACGTTTTGGATCGTGTACTTGTGAAAAGCATGCTGGCGTAATGGATGTCAATTGGGTCCGAACAGGATCTTATACCAAGGAACTTGCTAAGGGAATCTTAGCAGCTGTGAGAGCTGCACGCCGAGCAGCATGACTTTTCAGACAAAGAGCCAAGGCATGAACTTCCATAGGAATTCATGCAAACAAACGAAACAGAATTTTTTTTTTGGCATGTCCTGTCTCCGGACTGCGCACAGTTTAAGAGGGGGACAGGTATGCTGGAGAGGTTTTCTAAATTTATAATTGTAGGTTTGGGAATGTTTGCACATTTTTGTATGTTATTTTCAAACCTGCATGGAACAACTTAATTTGCGTTGAAAACTTCAGGTGACACGACAATTGAAACCTCTCAGGTTCAGTGCATGGCCGAACTTTTTTCTTTTTCGGGTGTGTGTATGAGGGTTGAAACAATTTCAATAATTAATCGCCTAATTGGGTCTTAGAGCCATGGCCAATCGACCTACACCACCGCCGAATTCAGTTGGCATGGAATGCTACCCTGGGACCGATATAACTGGAGTGGAAATGGAACTTTTGCGTGAATTGATGCGCAAGGCAGAGTGCAACCAGATGATGACTCAGACTCTGTCTTTGCACCAATTAGAGCATAAGCATGCCCCTGACCCGCGTCAAGCTGAATGGAATGCACAGAAGGCCGCAGGACAATGGCCAGGATGGAAGGCAACTGGACCGCCTCCAAAGAGTGTGAATCCACCGGCATCGTCTGGGCGACCGCCCAAAATGAATTATGACCCCAACGATGACCCGTGGGCTGCAGAGAGTGCTGTGCCTAAGGCTGATCCGCCGATTTTGCAGATCTTTGGAAACGTCCAGCAAGGGACACCTCCAATTAACCTTCCACCTGCTGCCACTGCAATGGGCAATTCTGGATTTCCAGAACATTCAGCTGCCGCTATGGGGACAGAGTCAATATTTCCACCAGCAAAGGCTGCTGCTCCTACAGCAGAGAATTCAGCAGCACGACAATTGCCTATTCCGAAGCCAAGCGGGCCCAACAAAGCAGCCAGGAATTCGACTCCCAAGATTGAAGAGGTACCAGAAGAGGAAGTTGGGGATGGCAATGGTGGACGCATGGATAAAAGCTTTAAAAGGAATCGAAATGTTTTTGAAGATGAAGATGAACTCTTTGG